TTACTCATTTGNGGTTTTGACTCTTTCATACCGCCAACTATTGTCTATCCCAGTTATAGTGAGATGATTACTGTGACTGCTGAGTTTTCCCATGCCAGTAGCTCTGCGCTGGCAATTCCTTTTGCGAATGTGGTTGCATCATTTCCAGCGTATGTCGGTGACTTCATTGATACGAACTCTGGATATTTGCTTGTCTTTACTTCACCCTTGAGCTCTTATGTTTTTGCAACTGGTTGGTGAGCAGTTGTTTACGCGCCACACACAATCTACAACACTGATGGACAGCAAAGTGATACTACTGCAATGGACCTTGGAAACTTGACACTCTCAAATTCTGCTATGGGAAGTAGAGGTGCTAGACTGAACATCAACAACATTTTTAGCCAACTTTTTGGTAGGGGCTCAACACATGAAGAGAAAGTAGTAAGAGGTGTTGCTGCACTTCTTGATTTGGAGCATCATGGCCAAGGAATATTTCAGCAAAAGATTGAGCATGTTTGTTACCAATTCCCCATTGAGAGGCTCGAAAGTGAAGGCTTTCACATTATTGTGGATGTTGGGAAAGGAATGCATGATGGGTTGAAAATAACTTTGTGCGCGGATTGTGAGCCTAAGATAGATAGTGAGCTTGATGAACTGAAATTCTTTCTCTGTACAGCTCTTCATGACTGGTTTGCAAGAGAAGGAAATGACCTTACCGACACCATTGCTATGAAGTTTGTGCAAGCTCTTGCGGGGTTCTGACGGTCATTAAATATTTGGGTATTCATATGGTAAATATCAGTTCGGAGGGACTCATTAAATTGATTCTACGATTCAAACAATCCAGCAAGCGTGACCTTTTGCAATTTATTGTTGATTGGCATGACGCGAGCACTTCAACAGTTGACTTAGAGCGAGTCACATCTTGGCTTTTCTCGTGGATCATTGAGTCGATATGGTGGCATACCTTGATTAAAAATATGCAAGTTCCCACGGATGACCCAACTGCCAGCAAACCTGTTGAGCTGTTCTTAGGATCACCGGCCTTGCATGTCCAGCAACGAAGAAAGTTACAACCATCTGTAGCCTTGGTACCTAATGATGCTGAGTATGAAAACACGAATGCTAAGTTTGGTGGTACTGACTTTCCTTTTGATCCTGGTACTAGTTTTCTTGCTGCATGCCTTGGGACTACACGAAATTCTGATTTCTCTGAGGTGTTGGGTTTGACATCAACCACGTGGGATGCTTGCATTGAACCCTTGGATCTTCTGTTGAGACATACTGAGGCTAGTAAGATTGCTCTTGCACTTACTTTTGCTGATGTGAATTGCTCAATTCGGAATGGAGCTATAAGATGCTTGAGTCTTGCTTATGTTAGTACTCAGAATGACCAGATCTCTAGTAACTCCACTCATATATTTAGATATGATATTTCTCTTGTTATGGTTGTATCTATTGCTCAATTTTTGGACCTGCTGTACTTTTACTCATGCAGCAGTGAGTTTGTCCAGGATAATGCATTTCCCTTGATACATCGGAGTGGGTCAAAGTGGGAGGAGCCCTCTAATCTTATCTTGCCTTTTGGTCGTTTTCATGCATTTCTGTATTCTAAATATCTAAAACAGATAATGGAGACACTTGTTGCAGTTATTGAGAAAGTGAGTTTCATATCCTTGGGTCACCAACTTGAATATTATGATATGGTGGCTAATCATTCGGCTCGATTTATGACTGTGGTTCTAAGTGGAGCTCTCCTAAAGTTCATTGGTACATCTGTTGTTTGGGTTAGCCAAACTATTCACCAGCTGGCAGTGTTTGAATTTCCTACGAGAATCGCAAAGAGAGGGAGGAGACAGTTCCCTTTTGCTAAAGCTTGTGCTACGGCTGAAGAGATACTTTTTGATTTGCTTAAACATAAGGTTGATGGGGTCATAACTTTACTTGAACAGGTGAGTTGGTGTGATTGCTGGTATAAAGTGCTCATTTTCCTTGAAACTATGGCTGTTTCTACGCAACTGATCTTGTCTGTTCAAAGTTTCAAGGGAGTTCTGCCAAATACTCTCTTTCACTTCTCTGGAAAAATGAGGCTTGGAAAGGGAATATGCAATCTAGAACATCTGTTACAAATTTGGGAGCAAGATATTAGAAGAGTACTTTCTTTGATACTTGAACTCATCTATATATTCAACTCAAAGGGGGACATCATGGACGCTCTAAGCATCTCTTCGCGCATTAACTATGGGGCTGGCGGTTTGTTTCTGGTACACAAGTGGACCTCGAGCACTAGGATATCAGTATTGCTCTACTCGAACCTTGAGGACAAGGTTCTTTTTGAGGACGGGAGTATTGTTGTGAACCAGCCCAACTTAGTAAGGAATTATGGGAACGAGGTTGATCCAGTTGGGACTATTGGGCATGGGGCGAAAGGCCCAATGATTAAACAACCCAATAGAATGCTTGGACATTATATTTGGGATCCGGGGGGAGATACGGGATATGCCTATTGTTGAGAAAAGTGTCTGCTTCTCCTCCTCTCCTATTCTCTAAGACTAACCTTCTCATCCCCTTCTTCTATCTATCTCTAGTTACTTTACTTCCTGCAATTTCTATTGTAATTCTGCTACTAAGTTGTTGCATCTTGATAATTGAGTTGTAATCACATTTCAGCCTTAATAATAGAGTAGAGAGGTTTCAGTTATTGTTACTGTGGATTTGAGTTTATTACAAAATATGACCGTCCGGAGTGGGATTTGAACCGTCAATTTCACTTATAAAGGTGCACAGAGACGGAGCTAGGATTTTAAGTGTATGGGTTCTAAATTACAAATACAGGGTCTCGAAAAAAGTCACTGTATTTTCTTCCACCGTAGCTCTACTGTAGACATGAAAGTTTTCTTCTTAATTAGGGCATAAGTATAGCAGTAAGTGAAACATGACTCTATTCCAACAAATAAGCAAATCAAGAGTAAGGGATGATGCACTTAAACGAGATCCAAATGCCAAAAATGAATACTCGAAAGAGACCTTGGCTAACCTCAATCGCTGGAGCTATTTTGGAATTGCTGTTTTTGTGTGCGAAAAGGCTGCTTTAATAGCATTTTTAAGGTGATTTACGGCTGTAAAAGGGGGATTTTGGGAGCTGATTTTCGCTGATTTTGTGGGAGTTTTGTAGCTGAAGTTTGGGGTGTTTTGGAGCTGGAGTTTGAGGCAGCTTCCATGCAGAAAAAGCTATTGGTTTTCAGTTGAGTAAGGAAGCTTCTTTAATGGTGGAAAATAGTATTTTGTTGTTGGAGAGGAAGGAGTTGGTGCGCCTCTTTTCATCTAGGTTTGTTTTAATCTCTTGGCAGAACCCCAACTTTTTTGATTTGGAAGCGGAGAAGATTAGAAGAAACAGCCACGACATCGTTTAAATTGTGCTATTTGTGCTTTCTTAAAAAGAAAACTGTGAAAAGAACAAGTAAATAGCTTTGCTTTCAGCGTGATTGAACCCGCACGTTCTCCAAGCGAACCCAGAACTCTTACCATTAAACCCAGATCCCTTTTGTTACTGGGTTCGCCATGATATTATTATATACAAACAGTAAATTTTTCAATACAAATACAGGGTATCGGAAAAAATCACTGGGTTCGTCCGAACCCGCATCCTCTACCGTAGCTCCGACCCTGGAGGTGCACCCAATAACTATTGCATCATAAGATTCTTTGAGCATGGGTGCACGCATATATATTTAAATAATTTTTAAAAAAAATTATATTTATACATAGTTTAGGAAGAGGAGCATGAGTTGACGTGAACCTATATCCCTAGCCCTAAATACGCCCCTATTTATACGTAGCCTGTTTGCGTGGCTAATTTTTGCTCGTACTTCTCCTGGAAAATCTTGCTTCTTGACCTGCAAGTCAAGCCGACACTAATTGAATTTTCCGAGCTATGCTAATTTCATTGGCTTGGGAATTGGTGTCCTGAAACTAGCTGGACATATCTATCTAGTGAATGAACATTGATACCACTTTGCTTGTGACTTGTGTACAAATTTATTGTTCGAATATAAAGATTTGCTTTTTATATTTTTCATGTGGAGATATATTAATCACTGAAGCACAACGTTTAATTTAGCACATTTAACTACTAGTGCTCATTGTTCCCAATGGCAAAGCCATGAATTTTTCTAGTGGTGTTCAAATTTACAACAACAACAAATCCAATATAATTCCACATGTGGTGTCTGGGGAGGGTAGTGTATACGCAGACCTTATCCCTACCTGGAGAAGTAGAGAGGCTGTTCAAACTTGAAAGAAGTAAAAATATCCCCGACAAAGAGTGTGCAATAAACGTTGTATACCTTTAGAACCTTAATATTTTACTTATGTACGCAGTGTAATTTTCCAACGAAGGGTGGTGAATTGACCATCCTTACCAGAGAGTAGCTTCTCCTCTGATTATTCCTCCCATCACAAAAGAGGGTTCCGAACACGAGCGTCAGAATATATATGTTTCTCGTGTGAATTTTGGATATTGTTTTTCTTAAATATTTTTTGAAATACATAATCAGAAACTATACAAAGTTTGGTTACTTATAATATTTTTTAAATTAGAAATTCAGTTTAATTTTTATAATTAAAATTTCAATTCTCTTTAAAGAAAAAAAGTTGACTAAGACGATACAACACATATATTTTTGGTCGAACAGAGACAAAAGTTGGCCATAGTGATTCGGGAGTCTCGTGTGGAAGGGCTCTTGCTCAACCGATCAAATGACACGCCCCCAAGGGTTTAATTGTTCGCATTCAAGTGGTACATGAGTTGGACTTAAAACATCGTGGGACAATTATATTCCTATATCTATCTTTGGTGTCAAAGGTAGAATTGTGAGAAACCAACCCTAGTAAAAGAGGACTGGGTTGGATTTGTGATGCCAATAATAGCACCGGGCAGCAATTCTGCACCACGGGAAATAACAATTAGACATTCTAAAGTATTAATTTGATGGATCTGTTTAAGTGAGGGAATAGTATTGCAAGTGAAAGTTACAACATTAGAAAACAAGCGCATGGTTCTGCGGTACACAAGTATATTACTCCATCACTCAATTGGTTACAAAAATCCTTTCAGTGGACATCCTATGCAAAAGAAAAATATTGGTTACAGAATAATATACCTATTCTTTTCATTTTCAATGAATGTTGTGAAATATTTGAAATTTCAGCTTAAGAAATAGCAGCGATTATGACATCAACCAAACAATATAGAGATTTCAAACGTCCTAAGATACATCAATTAAGGAAAAAAATGCTCCATCCATTTAATTTATGGACAGAAAACCACTCTGTAATTGGTTCCATTCGGACAAGTGAAGGTACTAGTTGAATCATCATCTTTAGGGTAACTGTAAGAAGTTGAACATCTATCCTTAAAGAACTTGGAATACTGGGTTGGACCACAATCGCCACCAGATGTGCAACAATATTCGTTAGTATTGAAAACAGTACAAGGATTATTACAACCTCCAGGAATCCTTAATTCATTCGGACACTGTCCTATGATGTCGGCAGTGCAGCTGATCTTAACAGAACAATTACCAGATGTTGGACTAAATTCCATTGGAACATTGAAACCGTCTACAAGAGATATGTCGAAGAAATCAAGATTGTTAAACTGCTTTAGGCTGTATTCAGCCAGAGTGTTTGGGGGTGTGCCAAAATCTTGACATTCGAGGACTCCATTGCAATCGCCGGTTTGACATTGACCACGCCCAGATGCGTCAAAATTGCAATTGGTTCGGCCCCAGATACGTTTTGCAATTGGACCGTTTGAAGGTTGGAGTCTCCATTTTCCACCGTAGTCGAGACGTCGGCCGCCACCAGGGATTGCTGCTGCCCATACGGTAAAAGGGCAATTGTTTCGGATGTCGATCGTTGTAATTGCTTGTGTTGAGAAAAGCTGATAAGCCACAACAGAGAGGAATTTGAGGAAGCTGATCATCTTTACTTTGGGATTGGGAGAGTGATAAAAAACAACGATGGAGAGGGATTTTTAATGGAGGCCTAGCTAAGGACGAATAGTCAATGGAGACTTTTCGACTTCAGTACCCGGAAATTTTTAATTACCTTAAGGAGGGGGAAAAAGAAATCAGAGATAGTCACATTTACGACTGTTAATTAAAAAATTACTATAGTTTTAAAGTAATTGAAATTTAGTCACTTTTTGTTGTAAATCTTAATAAAAACACCCTTAAACATCCGGATAAGTTCTAGCATAATATGCTAGAGTTTGATCTTTTACATATGAGATTGTGCTAGAATTTCATAATGTATTGGAGTTCCAACATAATATGCTGGAAGTTTAGCGCGAGAGCTCCAAAATTCAGCATATTATGCTGGAATTTTTCATGTGCTGGAGTTCCAACATAATATGGTGGAAGTTTATATGCATAAGCTCCAGAATCCCGCATATTATGCCAGAACTTTTCATGTTTCAGCAAAATAGTGGTGATTTTTTAATGACTTTGCAAATGCTGGCAATTTTTCAATTATTAGTCCGAAAATTGGCTAGCCCGTGTTATTTCATGTACTTACAATGAATGATAGATCTTACTATTTATAGTTACACCTATGGAACAAGGCCCTAGAATTAAGATCCTCTCTAGTGACAATTATGAGGGCCATTGAAGAATGTGTAACGGTGTGCAGTAAATGTCATATTCTCTGTAACGAATCATGCACTTAATGTTGTAGAATATTTTTCATTGAATGCTATCGGATGACGGCATTTATTTTGTCTTTATGAGTATCATTCTCTTCGATGACAAGCGGGATCACTGCCTCCGGGTTTGGCTATCTTCTATTTTCAGTTCCACGTGTCGCTTTCTCATGCGATCATTAAATATGAACATATTTTACCCCATACAACAACCATTTCATTTTTTTCGATTTCAGTAGACAAGTCTAAATGAAGCTTAACTCGTTTAATAATTTAGCATATATATAACTTCTTTATTCTTAAAGGGAAAAAGACTGGATTTGTCTATGTACTTTCGTATATAGTTCACATTTATCCTCCGTTTCACTTTTTTTGTCCAAATTCGTCCCTACCGTTAGCAGATCCTCTATTTCGCTTACTTTGTTAACTGTAGGGACGAATTTAGACGAAAGGTAAAACTGCGGATAAATATGAACTATATACGAAAGTACAGGGACAAATCTAGCCTTTTTCCCATTCTTAAAACCAATATGTAACAATAACGACAATAACGAACAAGAGAATGTGACCCATAGCTAGAGGCGGATTCAGGATTTTAAGTGGATGGGTGTACTATTATAAAGAGGTGGATCTATAATTTATATTTGACAGGTTTAACTTTAGTATCTTACCATGAACCCACTAAACTTTTGAAATTATAGATTTAAAATTATATTTTTTTTTTTTTTTTTGAAATTTTAATAAGATTGTTAAACTGCTTTAGGCTGTATTCAGCCAAAGTGTTTGGGGGTGTGCCAAAAGCTTGACATTCGAGGACTCCATTGCAATCGCCGGTTTGACATTGACCACGCCCAGATGCGTCAAAATTGCAATTGGTTCGGCCCCAGATACGTTTTGCAATTGGACCATTTGAAGGTTGGAGTCTCCATTTTTGAGCGTAGTCGAGACGTCGGCCGCCACCGGGAACTGCTGCTGCCCATACCGTAAAAGGGCAGTTGTTTCGAATGTCGATCATTGTAACTGCTTGTGTTGAGAAAAATTGAGAAGTCACAACAGAGAGGAATATGAAGAAGGTGATCATCTTTACTTTTAATGGAGGCCTAGCTAAAGACGAATAGTCAATGGAGCTTATTGGTCAATAAATGGTGCTAAACTTGTTATAGAGAGGAAGACAAGACATTGCTGGCATAGCGTTTGGTCAAGGGTATAGCGTTTAAATACTAGATCCATCTCTAATTGGTTGCACTGGCTGGCATGGTGCTATAATAGAGATAATAAATCAATGAGGAAACAGACTAGTACGTAGTATTTAGCGGCAGATTCCTTAATAAGCACAAAATTTTCAACACTTTGCTCGTCATCTTCTATCTGGAAGAACATCCTTTCGCAAAGGAATATTTCCATGGAACAATGGGAATGTGCAATTAATTAATTTTGGAATGATCCTTTGGCTAATCATCCACCTAATCCTCTACATCACCCGTTCTATGGCCCCTTGATAATCATAAAGAATTGAAGATAATTCTCTTTCTCCATTTCTTTGGACATTGCCCTAACAACATTAATTACCCCAAAGATTTTAGCACCTTACCCATATTAATAATGTTACTCCTATGAAATACATATTACAAGTTCTATATTAAGTACCTATAGGGCTTGTTTGGAAAACCACCTTGTAATTCGATTTGGGTGTAATTACACGGTTTTAACATGTTTGTCTCACTAAGTAATTACTTAGTCAGCATGTAATTGGGTATAAGTGAAGGGGTGTAATTACACTCTCTAATTTTCAGGGAGGGGCTAAGAATGGTTGGTAATTGCACGGTATAATTACAAGGTTATTTTGCAGAATCTCTTTTCTTTCTTTTCTTTTTAATTTACTTTTTGTATATATATTCTTTTTTGTAATTACAAGTTTACTGTTTGGTTGCACAAGTGTAATTACATAGTTAAATTAAATTTTAAATGAAGTAATTATCAAAATTTAAAAGTTAATATAATAAATATATGCCTATAAATTTTTATAAGTATAAATGATATTATATTGATATGTAAGATATATATTTTTTCGTGAATATACATTAATTAGCAATCATATATTTATAACTAATATTGTCGAAATAATTAATATATTTTTTAAATTAATAATATTAGTTTAGATACTTACAAAAACTAAAAACATACGTTTTGTAAGAACTTCATGGAATTCATGCTTGATAAAATAATTAAAATTTATAAATATAATGTCATAACATTATTCAAATGTTTGACAAAATTAATCTATCAATTCTAACTAAAAACGAACAACATGCAATGTCAACCAATACTACTAAAACAAGTAAATTGAAACCATGAAATAACACATTTCAAAATCCAAAAAAAAAAAAAGTTTAACATACGTCAAATTTCAACATAATAATAATAATAAGTTCCATTACAACTTAAGATTATGAAACACAATAAGTTTATAACCACATTCAACAACGAAATTCCACTTTAATTGCATCGCTCATTATATACCAAGTTTGTTAATGACTCATTATTTCTAATGTTAGGAGGTGTGGTTTCAACAAGTAGAATAATAAATAAATAAAAAATTAAATATAAGCAATTACACGGAATCACAAGAAGTAAAGGTAGAGAAATAAAAGATAAATAATGTACAAAGAAAAATATATTTTAAAATTTCAAAAGAAATTAAAAAGTAAAACTAAAATTTAAAAAGTAAAATAATAGAAATAAAAAGTTATAAAGAAAATAAATTAAAATAAAAACAAAAAGGCAAGAAACTAAAAGGCAACATTGTAATGACACAGTGTAATTACCTCCAATTCTCACACCCCCCTTGAGAATTGGAGAGTGTAATTACACCCCTCTAATTACACCCAATTTCATGCTGATCAAGTAATTACTTGGCCAAGCAAACATGTCAAACTGTGTAATTACACCCAATTACACTCAAATCCAATTCCTAGGTGACTTTCCAAACAGACTCTTAATTTCTCATATTTTATTATTTTTTAATTATTATTTTTTATCTTTTTTATTACACGTAGCTATACTATTATCCTAATTTTTCTAGAAAATTGCAATCTTAGAAAGAATAAATTCCACAAACTTGACTTATAATGGGCATGTCAGTAAAGTTGAACTTTGTTATTGGATGAGGTTATATGCAAACTTAACTATGTTAAAATAGACTAATTATTTAAATAATATTCCTCTTTTTCAACCTTTATTTTTTGTGATTCCATGTAGTTGATCATATTTTTTAATTATCTTTATTTTCCTCATTTAATTGTGTTATTATTCTAGTTTTGAAACTACAACTCCTAATATTAGAAATAATGAGTCATTAATACACTTGACATATAATGAGTGATATCATTAACGTAGAATCCCATTGTTGAATGAGGTTATATACTTATTTTTTCTGTTCTTTTGAATTATATTTACTTAAATTACGTTGAAACTTATTTTATGTTATGTTGTAATTTTACACAAGAGTATTATGTTGTTTTTAAATTTATTTTGAATTTATGTTATATTTTGGGTTCCATTTTATTTGCTTTAGTAGTATTGAATTATTAATTCGAATTGCATGCCATTAGTTAGAATTAATAGATTATTTTTCTTAAAATACTTGAGTAATGTTATGGGATTATAATTATAAATATTAATCTTTTTGTCAAGCATGCAGTCCATGATAATCTTATAAAATATGTACTTTTAGTTTTTGTACTTAATTAAAGTAAAATATTATAAATTTTAAAAATATATATGTCAATTGTTTTTTACAATATTAGCTACACATTGTGATTAGTAATTAATATATTTTTAAGAAATAATATGTATTTTAAATATTAAATGTAATATCATTTATAATAGCATATATTTGTTAAATCTTAACTTTTAATAATTGATAATTAACTTTATAATATTTAAAATTAATGCTATTGTGTAATTACATTTGTGCAACCAAACAATGCACTTGTATAGGGGTGTTCAAAATCGAACCGAAATCGAAAACCGAACCGAAACCGAAGCTTAATGGCTTATTGGTATCGGGTTAACGGTTAACGGACGGGGAACGGATTGAAATTTTTTTATTAACGGCTTATCGATTTGGGGACGGATTATTCAATTTTCTTAACGGATAATCCGTTAACCCGTTAAGAATATATATATATATATATATATATATATATATATATATATATATATATATATATTACTATAGAAAATATTTCATATCATTAATTCGTTGTTGTTGATGTAGTATTCTAATGCTTATTCACTAGTACAACGTCTTAACTTCTTTCTCGAAGAATATTAGTGATGAAAGTTAAAAGAAAAAGGCGTATATATTATATGTGATTGTGAGGTGTAATCAAGATGATGATAAAGTAACTGAATTATCCTGAGCTGAGAGTTGGGAGAATTCATATTGACGGCTATTTTAATACTTAAAATTGGAAAGCTGCTACTCTAATTTCTCCTTTTTCTTTTCTCAATTTTCTATTTTGAGTCACCCGTCAGCAGACAATTAATGCACGTAATATAGATTGAATGAGGCCGATAAGAGCTAAACCGATACCAATCCGCCCGATATCTTATCGGGTGGCTAGCGGATTAATACATTTAAAACCCGTTAACCGATAAGCCAAACTGTTAAGAGTAAATAACCGCTCAATCCGCCCGATAAGCAGCCCTACACTTGTATACACTGTAATTATATTATGAAAAACAAACAGATCATCTTAATTACAATATTGTGTAATTAATAGGCTCTATAATTACTACCCTAACACCAATTCCAATTATGTGGTGGCTTTGCAAACAGAAGTTACGGGAACTATAAATAAATAAAAAGTATTTAGCGCGAATCTAGTGTAGCTCCCTCTTTTTAAATGACGGTTTTTCCTAGTCCACCCGTTTCACTTCCCAAGTATCTCTACTTTTAAATGAGACAATGAGCGTTGGGCTCCCACGGAAAATCAAAAAAATGCAGATTATTCATACTCAAACCATCGTTTCTCCTCTCACCAATATCTTTTTCAATAGCACCACATCATCATCTTCTCCCAAAAAGCCCTTCAATTTCAGTCCTTTTTCTTTTAAGAAGAACCCCAAATGGAATGGTAATTTCGTGTCAAATATTATATACTAGTACTCAATTACTGCTTTTTTTTTTTTTACTCAAATGGATTGTCCAAATTTCAGTGTGTTAACTGCAATCCTTCTGGTTTTTATTACATAAGTTGGTAACTGTTAATTCCTTTGTTTACTTGCAGCTTTGGGTAAGGCAAATCATGAGTTGCGAACCAATAATCGCATTGTGATATGCTCAGCTTCTGAACAACGAAGCTTTGGTAATGGCGTTAAACGGAAAAGGTTCCTGCGATTTCTCTCTTCTTTAAGTTTATACAGATACTGATTTATGACTTGGCTGTATAAACAAATCATATGTTCTTAGCCCAATTCCGTAGTACTATTGCGTGAGCCCTTTTAATCAGCCATATGACTTAGTGATAATCTCCTAGGTCTTCACACCTTTTCTTATATAATTTAAATGTTTTTCTAATCAAGGATAAGTTGCCTTATGTGCAATAGTATTTCTGGTGTACTTATGTGAAATGGGAAAAGGACATTAAATATTATCCGACTTTTAATTTGATAGCAACGAAAAGATTCTACGTTTCATTTTGTCTTACAGTTTGCGCTGTTTTATGCTTATCTTGATTCTTTAGACCTTAACAAGTCTTGCTTTGCTGCCCTAGGGCTTTGGCCTAGAGGTAAGAATGCAGCATAGGACATGTAGGTTAGGCACACGTCATGGGTTAGAACCTATCGCTGAGTGGAGAAGGTTATAGAGACAGGGCGACTGTACACCATGCGCCATCAGCCCTAGGGTTTCTCGGTTATAAAAAAAAGTCTTGCTTCGCTTATCTTAGCTTGGCAATTCTAGAATTTGTTTTGCTTTGCATTTTGTTCATTTTTGGCATTTAGTATTACTTCCAAAGAAAGATGAGGATAATTTCAAGAGAATTTTCTTTAGGGTGGAAATTCCAGGAATTCTTGTATAACTGCTTATAACTTAACCAATTAATCTGCCTATAGAAGTTTTACTTGGGAATATTTTCTGGTAGCTTATTGGAAATATAGCATTTTCTTGACCCATATACCCCAATCCTGAATGTAGTTTAGATCTTGTTCATGTTGCACGGTATGTTCTCTCAAAACTAGCTCACCAAATGTATAAAGTATCAGTTTCTTTCTGTATTCTGTTTTCTCAAGTTTTATCTTGACAAAAAATATCTGCTTGTTGCTTGCAGAAAAGTAGTTGAACACGTGTGTTTGATCAAAGGGAAGGAGGACTTATCTGAACAACAGGAGAAAGATATGCTGGATTACCTGTACACAACCCAATATCAAATGCCTGGCATTCTTTCCATCTCACTAGGTCATAGTTACTTCTTGTTTGACTTCTGCATTGATATAATAAGGGCCGTTGGTTTTTGCTTTACTCGCGCTATGTGAATTTAAGTCGAGTTCTTGTATTTGTTGCACTTATGTCTGGTCTGATATGTCTTTGTTGACAAAGCATAATATGAGATGTACAAAAATGTGGTGAAGTTCTAGGCAGCTAAACACAGAATGCAAACTCTTCTAAAGAATAAGTTTAAATTTCTCCGATGTCGAGTCATAAAATGAAGAAAGTAATTTAGATATATAATTTGACCTAAATTGTTTGGGTTAAATCCGGTTGCTTCTCATCCTGAACATTGCTAAGCTTGTGTTGCCAAATAGAGAAGCTTCAGTTCAGTCTTCCTCTCAAGTTTGTTTTGCATGAAGTGGGGCAGAGGATGCCTTTTGAGGTGTCTATTCTCTAAATGTTAGTTTAACATTCTATTAACTGCTGTAGGACGCATCTCTGGTGGGAATGATGATAAATATAGCCATGCTACCTACATGCGCTTTCAGACAAAGGAGGATCTCTTGAAGTTCTATGAGAACCAATTCTACGTGGGAGTCCTTAGGGACCATGTGCTGCCTTACTGCCATGTATGCCCTAACATGTAAAGAACAAAATCCTTTGTGCCTTTTGATTTGTATTTGTTAGTTCTGCTGCAGATGGAATCCCGCCCCCTTCTTTAATTTCTATTCTTCTACATATTCTGAAACGTTTAGCATTACATGTTGACAGGAAATTATCAATGCCGATTTTGAGTCCGAAGTAGAAGATGATATACTGCCAATATTTCGAAAAGGAGAGGTTGAAACATATCCACTTACTTGAATCTCGTTAGAATTTTTGTACTTGCTATCTTAGAGTTGTTATTCCTTTTGTCCATCCAACTTATTTATGTTCTTATATACTTAATGCGGGATAGGCTAATCTTGAGACTTCTTCTAGAATAGAGTAATTGTTGATCCCCAACAGTGAGGCTTACACTCATTCTCATTAGTTGTTCAATCTTTAATGTGTATTATTTGGTGGTTTCCAGATTCTGCAAGAGACAGTCTTCTGAACTATTAATATTGTATTTCCATTTTTTCTCATCCAACCTATCTTTATTTTGCATGTCTTTCAGTGATTTTAGTGCTAGCGAGCATTAGGGAGTGACGGTAGGTTTTTGGTATAAACAAGAGATATTTGACTGTGTTTGGGTGGCAGGAGTTCAACTATGGCGTGGAGCTTTTACTTCTCATAGCATTTGTCAAGAGTTCTTTGGATGGTCCTGCTGAAGATGCTTTGCTTGCTCTGTCAAAGCTGATAACGGAGTTCCCATCCTTAATCGTTCAGGCTACTCTTGGTATTCCTTGAATGTTTTACTGATGATGTACTTATCTAGAGATTGTTTCCCAATTGACATGCTGCATTTTCTTGTTTAGGATAGAAGTCATAAGAAAACATAATCTGGAAAAAGAAAACTTGGAGTTCAGAGATATTTAATAACATGAAAGGATTGTTTTAATCCATTTACTTTCATTTATTCAATCACTGATCAGATACACATGTCCTAGCACCTCACAGAATTATCTCTCTTTTTCAGGTTCAATTTTTAATATTTCCAGCGTGGAATATACTCATGGTGTAGTAATACGGTTTCGCTCTTGTGAGCTCTCATCTTTTTCCTTTTAATTGCAATTTGAAAATATTTGCAACAACTAACTATGCATTTATCTATCAGCTGAAGCATTCCAGATGTTCATGAACAGTTCAGAATACAAAAATGTAAGGACACCCGATCTGTGGCAGGTCCTCCAATCCTGGAATCTCTATCTTTGCTACTTTATTTGTACAAAAACATATTTTAATGGAAGCACTTTCAAACTTAATTGTTCTTTAGCAGATAATTTGATATTATCTTTTATCGATTTAAGGTATTTAAAGCCTCTTGTAATTATATTTAAGTTGTGAGATAGATTATGCTTCAAAATACACATCCTATGCAATGGCCCCCAAATAATTGGTTTAATTGTATGAAGTTTAAAAGGAAGCTAGAAGTAGCATGGTCAAAATTTCATAACTTGATGATGATGATTCTAGTTTCTAAAATCTGAACGCTTTCCTTATTGAAAGCAGACATGGAGATCTAAATTTCAGCCAATCGTCCAAAAACATCTCTCTGTTCATTTTTCGGTTGATCCAGCGGGCACAGAGCTTATGTAGCAAAAATTCATCCCATTACCTGAGTTACATATGAGGCATTTAAACATCCTATTTTGGATATTGGCTGACTGTGGTGGTTTTGAAGATTCCTTTATTACATTACAATGCTCCCTCTTCCAAAGAGAACCAGCAGGTTAGCATTTAATTCACTGGAGATCCCTTTTTCTCCTAACATGATATGTGTTCTCATCAAGCACATTATTTAATGATTGGGAATATATTTGATTTCTTTTGCGTTACTTTGCTATTCTAACTGAACTCGAATTTTTCTCATCTAGTTGAATACACTACATAAAAACAGTTTTATTTGCGTGAAGAACATGCTATACATAGGGTACCTTGTATAAACTCAAAATCTTCTTGCCTTTAGGATCCAGTTACTCGAAGATCTTGTGGGGAAGCAAAATGAGTTGAGATATTCACACATTACAATATAATCTTGTGGTCCAGCCTTTCCCCGGACCCCGCGCATAGCGGGAGCTTAGTGCATCGGGCTGCCCTTTTTTTTTTTTTTTTACTGAAGTATGCACACTTGAGAAAGCAGAAAAAGAGAAGTTTTTTTTACTGAAATATGTTTATTATTAAAAAACTGCAGCTGAATTTTAATTCCGGCAGCAACTCATTTAGGGATATCCGCTAAATAATTTGCATCTTTTGTTTCTCATAAGAGAATATTGTAACAGGTACGAAACTACCAATTGCCTCATATCAAGATTGTCATCCGTCTGGGGATTCACCTTGAAATGCTAAAAAAAAAAAATGAAATGTTGGACTGCTTGGAGGACTTATTAATAGAATGTATCTTCTTACGATGTACCATAGTAAGCATTTGTTGTTTTTGCATTAGTATCATATGTATCCGATGGATCGAAAAGCCAGCTGGCTTCTTCACCATCACCAGTGTGGCTATTATTGCTTAATTTTTCTTTTAACCAGGCTTAGAATAGAAAATAAGGAAGAAAAATGTACCTTATTTGGCTGCTTTTGAGGCTAGCTAGTTGACTTCTTTGCACCAGCCGCAGTTTTTTATTTGAATGGACATATTTTAATAAACGTTGATTGGTTTAGCAATATTAGAAATTTGGCATGCTTCTCCCTTTTCACTATCTGTGGCCTACTTATTATGTGAAGTTGTTTAAGTTACGAAAGATATATGCTTTTAAGTTTTAAAGATTGCAGCTTTTGAATAACTAGATCAAGTTTGCCATAGAAAGAGCAGCTCCTGCAGTGTATAACTGAACTGAAAGTACAAAGAGAATTTTATACTATGTAAGTTATTTTTCTACGTGTGTGTGGCCCAATAGGTTTAAGGCCCATAATTAATATTTAATGAATGAGCAAATCTTATCCGTCCGATTGGTTACTTGATGGACGTATCAGATTAAATAAGAACCTCTATAAATTGGTCCTCTCCCCACCCATTAGGTTACCGTATTTTTCCTCTCTTCCATCACTAAAGTCGGTGGTAACGAAAGTTAAGGCAAGGGGCGAGAAACCAATTTCAATTAACGCTTTCGCTTCACGATGATGGCTTACGATTCAGGTATGTTTTCTTTCTGTAATGATTTTGTGTAAGATTATCATGTTCAAGATCCTGGTATTAATTAAGTTTATGCTTACATGTGGTATCATGAGCCTGGATTACTTGAACTGATAATCTTCATTAAAAATAATAAACTTTTGTGAATAAGTTGCTGTTTTGAAATTATGTATACCTACGGTAATTACGAAATCATGCCATACCTTTATTCAAAGCTATTGATTCTTGTAGATTTCTCTGTTTGTGGAAATCGATTGTATCAATGGATAATAAATTAATGAGAAAAGAGTCAAATAATTTGCAATTCTTTTATCTTACTTTTTGCCTTTGCTTTCCTACTGTTGGCCGTAAATATGCGATTCAGTTAAAGGAATTGAAGCAGAATTTGAAAGTTGGTGCAATTAAGGCTAACTACTTATGAATTATGATCATGATAATTGGCTAATAAAGAAGGAAAGTAACTAATGTTTGTACTGGGAATCTAAACCTGTGGGATTAAATTACTTCACAATCTCACCAGTAAAGTAACTGACCTTTGAAGTAGATATTCTGCCTCAACCTTCTAAACCCATCATGAATTGTTTTTTTTAAAAGTAATTTTCCATAAGTTGATTTAGAATTCATTACTGTTTTGCCTTGGCCACAAAGTAATTCGATTGGGCTATTAGTTGATAAAGTCAGTTATTATTTATTTTGTGTATGTGATTATGTTAAGATAATTTATTAGTCACCAAAGTGATCAAACTGAATTGTTTAAAATATTCACATGCATACATGTTTATTTTATGCGTGCAATTATGTTTATATAGTTTGTTAGTCACCAAAGTGGCCAAACTAGTATGTTCATAAAAAAATATGCATACATAAAATTATAGTTTATCCATGAAATTAATAAAATGCCTATATTTAAAAATTAGTGGATAAATTAATTTTCACTATTGCTAGAACTTAAGGATTTACCCAAAGGTGAATCAATTATTCTATGAATAGTGAATATGATGAGGTAAATTAATATTCTTAGTCAAATATATATTGTCTGTCCAAAGATGGCATATATATTTGGTTAAAAATATTTAATTACCTATTAAAGACTAAATGGCATTTAAATTATGATAGTGTATCGTAGTATTTACCCAAAGGAGAATTGCGATATGCTTTAACTGTTTTGTTGAATCCATATTGATTTGTGAGCATGTATTATCTATTTTGCAGCTATTCCTTTTCATTCGCTTGCTTCGTCTGTTACTGTGTTCAATGGATTGAACTTCTCTGAATGGCGTGAACAAGTCCAGTTCCACCTAGGTGTGATGGATCTTGACTTGGCTCTGCTGAATGATAAGTCTGCTGCCATTACTGATTCGAGCAGTGCGGACGAGAAGTCTTTCTATAAAGCATGGGAACGCTCTAACAGGCTAAGCCTTATGTTTATACGAATGAATATTGCCAACAACATTAGAAGTACTATTCCACAAACAGAAAGTGCCAGGGAATACCTAAAGTTTGTGGAAGAACGTTTTCGTTCTGCAGATAAGTCTCTCGCTGGTACACTAATGGCTGAACTCACGACCATGAAGTCTGATGGGTCGCGTAGTATGCAAAACCATATCATCGAGATGACTAACATTGCAGCAAGACTTCAGACCGTGGGGATGAAAGTGGATGATTCCTTCTTGGTTCAGTTTATTCTGAACTCGTTGCCTCCTGAGTATGGACCTTCTCAAATTAACTATAACACTATTAAGGATAAGTGGAATGTTAGTGAATTGTCCAGTATGCTTACTTAGGAGGAGTCAAGACTTAAGAAACAAGGGGGTCATTCAATTAACCTCATGGGTCAAGGAGCTAGTAAAGGACTTAAAGTGAAGGCCAACAAGTTCAAGAAGAAGAAAGCACATGCGAAAGCTCAACAGGATGTTAACAAGGAACATAAGGCAAATACGTGTCGTTTCTGTAACAAGGAATGACACTATCAGAAAGATTGTCTGAAACGTAAAGCTTGGTTATAAAAGAAAGGTACAATTAGTGCTTTTGTATGTTTCGAATCAAATTTAGTAGAAGTTCCCAATAATACTTGGTGGCTTGATTCTGGTGCAACTGCTCATGTATCTACTACGTTGTAGGGAATCCTTACGATCCAAAATACAAATCCAAATAAGGATTTCTTGTTCATGGGAAATTGTATGAAGGCTCCAATTGAAGGCATAGGGACTTATCGTTTGATCATGGAGACTGGACGTCACCTTGACCTATTACAGACTCTTTATGTACCTTCAGTTTCTAGGAATTTGATTTCTCTTTCAAGACTTGATATTTCTGGATTTGATTTAAAGTTTGGAAATGGATGTTTCAATTTATATAAGAATGCTATTTTTTATGGTTCTGGTTTTCTTAGTGATGGTTTATATAAATTGAAACTCGACGTTGGCTTTTCTGAATCCCTTCTTACTGTTCAACATAATGTTGGAATTAAACGTAGTTCACTAGATGAAAGTTCTGCTTACTTATGGCATAGACGTTTGGGTCATATATCCAAAGAAAGGTTAGAGAGATTAGTAAAGAATGAGATTCTTCCGAATCTAAATTTTACTGATCTTACTATATGTTTGGATTGCATTAGAGGAAACAAACCAGGCATAGTAAGAAAGGTGCCACAAGAAGCACCCAACTTCTTGAAATTATACACACCGATATTTGTGGACCCTTTGATGTTCCATCTTTTGGTGGAGAAAAATACTTTATCACTTTTATCGATGATTTTTCACGTTATGGATACATCTATTTGCTGAAAGAAATATCTCAAGCAACAAATGCTCTCAAGGTATTTGTTAATGAGGTTGAAAGGAAATTAGATATAAAGGTGAAAATCATTAGGTCAGATAGAGGTGGTGAATATTATGAAAAATATAATGAATCAGGACAATGTCCAGGTCCATTTGCAAAGTTCCTTGAGCAACGTGGCGTATGTGCACAGTATACTATGCCAGGAACACCTCAACAAAATGGTGTTGCAGAAAGGCGCAATTGAACACTTATGGATATGATTAGGAGCATGATAAGTAATTCCTCATTACCCAAATCATTGTGGATGTATGCTCTTAAAACCGCTGTATATTTATTAAACAGGGTTCCTAGTAAGGCAGTTCCAAAGACCCTTTTTAAACTGTGGACAGGAAGGAAACCTAGTTTAAGGCACCTGCATGTTTGGGGTTGCCCAGCGGAAGCTAGATATAATCCACAAGAAAAGAAATTAGATTCTCGAACAGTAAGTGGTTACTTTATTGGTTACCCAGAGAAATCTAAAGGGTATGTGTTTTACTGTCCAAACCATAGTTCGAGAATTGTTGAAGCCGGTAATGCAAGATTCATTGAGAATGGTGAAGTTAGTGGGAGTGTTGAAAAATAAAGTGTGGAAATTAAAGAGGTGAGGGAATATTCTATTACCCAGAAATGTGCCTACTTCCACACAAATACCAAATATTGTTCCAGTTGTTGAAGAACACTTTTGACAACACCGAGCAACATTTGGATGAAACACTTCATGAAGAAACTAACTCACAAATATCTGACACAAATGAACCACAAGAAATGCCATTAAGAAAATCTAAGAGTTAGAAAATCGGCTATTTTGGATGATTCCGTGGTTTATTTGCAAGAGTCAGATTTTGACATTGGTCTTAATAAGGATTCGGTTTCATTTTCACAAGCCATAGAAAGTAATGAGTCTGACAAATGGATTGATTCCATGAAGGAAGAGTTAAAATTCATGGAATACAATAAAGTCTGGGATCTTGTTGAATTGCCAGAAAGTTCTAAAAGAATCGGGTGTAGATGGGTCTTTAAGACTAAACGCGATTCAAATGGCAATATTGAGAGATACAAAGCCAGACTTGTTGACAAGGGTTATACTCAGAAAGGAGGCATTGATTATAAAGAGACTTTTTCACCGGTCTCAAAGAAAGACTCGTTAAGAATTATTATGGCTTTGGTGGCTCATTATGATTTAGAGTTACACCAAATGGATGTGAAAACGCCTTCTTAATGGAGATCTCGAGGAGGAAGTTTATATGGACCAACCAGAGGGTTTCGAAACTAAAGAAAAAGGTCAAATGGTGTGTAAACTGAAGAAGTCAATATATGGACTTAAAAAAGCCTCACGACAATGGTATATAAAGTTTAATGATACCATAACATCTTTTGGATTTGTGGAAAATACCGTTGATCGGTGTATATACGAAAAGATCAGTGGGAGCAAGTTTATATTTTTAGTCCTATATGTTGATGATATTCTACTTGCTGCTAATGGCATTGCGTGAGGCTAAAGATTTTCTCTCTAAGAATTTTGAAATGAAAGATATGGGTGAGGCATCCTATGTGATAGGAATAGAAATATTCCGTGATAGATCACAAGGATTATTGGGATTGTCTCAGAAAGGCTATATCGAAAGAATTCTAGAGAGATTTAATATGAACAATTGTTCAGCAGGAATTGTACCAATTCAAAAGGGGGACAAATTTAGTCTCATGGAATGCCCT